CTGGCCGGAGCCCAGGGGCCAGTGGCCGGGGGAGGTGCCAGAGGGAAGGAGTGCCCGCTCTCAGCAGCCCCCCATGCCGCTGCTCCAGGCACGCGGCCTGAAGGGTGGGCAGGCTGCGGGGCCGGTGCCCCCGGTTCTGCGTTCCTGGGCCGGGCTGCGGCGGCAGAGGCAGCGGGCGGAGCGCAAGGCTGAGAGGACGCGGCGGCGGCGGCTGCGCTCCTGGCCCGGGGGAAGGTGGCAGAACTGAGACCGCGCCCCCTCGTCCAGTCCCCGCCCAGTCCCCGCCCCTGCTCTTCCTGGGGCCGCCCCGACCGCGGCGCGAGGCTTGAACCTGGACCCTAGGGCTGACCGCGAGGGTAACAGTAACGGACTTGGGTTCAGAGCTGACACAGAAACTAAGGGCAAGAACGAGGAGGTGATCTATTAGTGGAGATTTCTGGCTCGGGATTATCGGTCTCTTAGCATCATTTCAGAGTCAGGCGTCTATGGCCTGCTTGACTTAACCTACCAGTACTCAGGTGAAGCCTACAAAGATTGCTGAACCTGAAGAGTGTGCACTTTTCCACACTCACAGGAACGTGTGCGCTTTATCTTCCTTGTGTGGGAGGGGCTGGGAGGGCCGGTCTGGCACTGGCACTAGGGGCGGTGCCCATCTGCCCTCTCTGGTAGGGTGGTGCAAGCCCGGCTTGTGAGGCAGGTACCGGCAGGCAGGTAGGAGCCAGGCAGGGAGCAGCAGGTTGTGGCAGGTCTAGCCGGGGTGAGCAGAGATAGCAGGCGGGGGCAGGAGGCCAGGAGAACAAGGGCACCTGAGCCCAGCTGGCGGCAGAAGGAAGCAGGGCCATGGAGCTGGGTGATGGGCCCGACACCAAGCATAGAGAGCCCAGCATACATAGCCATGGAGTGGAAAAAGTGATGCCAAATTAGCACTTCACTTGATTCTTAACTCCATATGCCCATCCCAGGAGCAGTCTGTCCCTAAGGGTACACTGCTCCCAGAGGAGGGGGTGTGGAGACAAGCAGTGTGAGCACATCCTGGTTCGGCTTTCGAGGTGGAGGAGTGGCACTAGGTTCTGGACGGGTCGAGCCCTTTGGACAATGCCCCACCCCTGTTTACTGTGTACCGACCAGGCAGGGACAGGAATGCTAATGGCTGGGAGTGGTGGCAGGACTGAGCAGGGTGTGTACTACACACGTGTCACTGTGTGTGCCTGTCTGTTCCATGTGTGCTAGAGCATGTGTTCACAGAAATAAAGCTTTACACACCCATCTGTGGATTTGGAAAGGAACAGTAAAAAGAGGACGATTGGCTAAGAAGCTGGATTAGAGGCCAGAGTACCAGTTTCTTGGGCTCCCTGTATTAGACACCAAATATTCCCCAGGGCTGAAAGGGGAAGCTAGCTGGATTGGCTCAGACTCCCCAGGTAGCACTTCATGAACCCAAAAGGAAGAGGGGAGGGCTCTTCTCCCAGCACATGCCACAGTTACCAGATTAAGCCGGTTGCCTTGGTAACCTTCTCTCTGGGCAGGATTTGGGATTGTCGACTAGGAAGGGCGAACTGGGGAGTGTGGAAGGTGCGGGGGCTAGAAATAAAAGGGACTGAGACATCTGGAAACTAGAAGCTTGTGGCACAGGACCCCAGACCCCTTCAACTACTCAAGGAACTCAGGCAGAGACTAAGTTTAAGACCTTGAATCAGGGAGGAAAGCCAGCAAGTCAAGCTGGAGCAGCTGTGGTTTTCGCTGACTACACACTGGAATTACTGCAGTTTCCAGAAATACTGATGCCCAGGTTACATCCCAGATCAATTACATCAGATCTCTGAGGTGGGCCAATGTCTATGTCTATGAGTTTTTAAAATCCAAATAGCCAGGCTTAAAAATCGCTGCCTTGGTGGGACCAGCAGTTAGCGTAACGGCTGTCCCTGGACTCCCATGTAGTCAACCGCGGTTCAAGTCCTGGACCCAGTGGCTTATACTCACGCCAGGCGCGTGTGCGTGCCCAAGATCCTGAGAGGAGAATGGAGGAGAAGGGATTGTGGCATGGCCATCCCCCCAGCGGGTGATTTCTCGCTTTCTCTCCATCTTTCTGGCGAGTGCACACGCCCTATAGCAAAAAATCTCTCTCTCAAAAAAAAAAAAAAATCCTCCCTTGGGCCCCCTTGGGACCAGCAGTTGGTATAATGGCTATGTCACTGGATTTCCATGTAGTCGACTGAGGTTCAAGTCCTGGACCCAGTGGCTTAAACTCATGCCCAAGATCCCCTGAGGAGAATGGAGGAGAAGCAACTGCAGCGTGGCCATCTCCACTGGGGAATGACTTCTCACTTTCTGTCTCTTTCTGGTGAGCACATGCCGTAAGAAAAAAAAAAAAAAAAAAAAAAAAAAAAAGGAAAAGAAAAATCGCTGCCTGAGGGGCAACCCAGTCTATGAGGGCTGCAGATGCCAGCGGATGACTTTGGGACTCCAGATCCTTGCTGTTCTGAGTTGCCTGCAAGGTATCTGGCCTGTGTGCTGACCATAATGGGGCAAAGGGCTGACAGGGCACTTGCATTCTATCATGGAAGACATAAAGAGGAGGTGAGGGTGGTTACGAGTAACTACGAGGAAATGAGGTTCAAAAGCACCAGGTGGTGAGGTGGTTAAAGCACTGGATTCCCACATGGCTGACCGTGGTTCAACTCCCAGATTGGTGGCTTGCTTTGTCACTCTCCCTCTCTCTCTTGACAAATCGAAGAACAATAATAAAGTTAAATACATAATTATTAAAAAAAAAAAAAAAAGCTTTAGCTGAGCCCAGTGCATGAGCTTCTAAAAAGCAGCTGGGCAGGGCTACCCTAGGTTGATCTGTCTGCCCCTTAAATTCCCTTTCTTTCTGCCCACTAAGAGGCAGGCTGGGAGGGCAGAGAACCTGGGGGCTTTGCTGAGCTTGGGTTTCTTCTAGCTGAGCTGGTTACTAGGGCAACAGAGAGAGCAATGGGATCTAAGGGCAGGCCTGGGGAAGTAAGAGGCAGGGGTGAGGGGGAAGCATCTTTAACACTCATTCCTCCTGCCAGTAACCCACCCCCAAGACTGGCTGGCATTGTTTCCATGACCCCAGGAGACCAGGCCTGTAGCTACCCATCACCCTATGGGACAAAAGGGAAGCAAGCTGATGTGATTTGCAGGAATTAGGGAAGGAGGTCAAGTCAGTCACAGTCCTCCAGCTATAGCACAGGACCAAGTGGTACAGAAGTCCCCTCTGTCATTTTTGGATGTACGGATTGCCGAAACCTGCGCCCATCACCCCACTACGTAAAGATTTGTGGAACTTAACAAATGCAGCTACATTAAGTTCCATCCAACCAGGACGTGGAGGTGACAGTCAATTTGAGGCTGGGAACTGTTCTCATGTGCAGATCAGGGGCCAAGTGGCCTAGGTGCACAACAACACAAGCCAGCACTGGTGGTCTTCCAATTTCTCTTCTTACCTGCATGAAGGTAGGCAGGTGTCTCTGTGCCAGTATCTTTTCAAGAAAGCTAAATTGCCTGTGTGTCCGCTACTCCAATCCAGGACCTGGTAAGTTATATTGACGCTTACTGCCATACTGCCTTGGGAAACTTTGTCAAACACAGGGGCATGGGGCCAGCAGGTGGCGTGGTGAAGAGCGCTGGACTCCCACATGGCTGGCCACAATTCAAGTCCCAAAACCGGCGGCTTGATTTCTCACTCCCTCCCTCCTCACTCTGTCCCTCTGGTCAAATTAAGTTCCCATCTCATCTAGTGCCTCTTCCAATCTAAGACTGCACAGTACCTTGGTATGTGTGGCAAAACAGAAAGGCAACTGATAGGAGGACAGACACTGATGGCCTCAAACTGCTCCTCACCTCCTTTGGCTTCTGCTTCCCAAGTCTGAGCTGGTTCAATTTGCACCTGAGACTCTGTGGTCTTAGGAAATCTTCCCTCCCTCCCAAATCAAGACTCATGCAAAACAATGGCAAGAGAGCCAAGTTTATAGTCTAGATTTTATTACCTCTAAGTCATAATGCTGATCACAAATGTGTACCCTTTAAAACAGTAACAAACACTAACAACACACACAGAGAAATCCTTGCAACTAAACACACAGTGAACCAACAGAGACAACTGTCACAGTGTCTTAAGGTCTGGGAATCTGGGCATGCTGCCCACAGGCTTGAGGAGACATCTTCAGGCTTAAGGCAAAGGGAACAGCCTACAAAAGGCACAACCACCAACTACCCCTGGAAGAATTTCTAAGTTATTTCCTCTTGGGGGTTATAACCTAAGTGCCTCTCCCTCGTCTCCACTCCACAGCTGTGACTCAGAGTGGTCAGACCAGCTGCCAGAGGGAAGGAATAAAAAGTAACATTACTGGTAGAGAGATGAAGCCACCACCTTCTCCCAGGTTCCACAGGAGGTCAGGGACAGTGGCCAAATTACCCCTGGCAAACACAAGTGCTACAGCAATAGGAATCCTTCCACAGAAGCAGCAGGGGAGTGGTCAGTGCCATAAGGATAGGGAGGAAAGAGAGAGGAGCCCTTGCCAAAAAGTGACTGGCTTCCTTAGGCCTTAAGCCCAGGTGTGGTATCTTCTGTTTGCAAGGACAGAGCAGATTTGGGGAAAATAAGGTAATAACATCTAAAACATCTGCAGCAGGAAAGATGTGGAGACGAGCAATCACAAAGGACAGGGTAGGCTGCTTGTTGGATAGTATTTGCCTCTAGACAGAGATGCATTGGTCCACAGCAACTGGAAAGAAGGTGTGACAGCAGGGATGGAAAGAGAAGCAGGGCCTTCCAATTCCACTTACCTCAAAGACTGGGCTCCTGAGGGCTGTGAATACATACCCCTAAGGTGCAAAGGCTCTTACTCCACCCTCCATTTCTCACGAAAGCATCTGGTTTGCCATCCCTTTCCAGAGCAGATGCTGACCTCAATAGCAGACTGAAGCCCACCAGGGTCCAAGTATTATGGAAGCTCAGATTCCCAAAAACCTATGTCCAAAAGGGCTCCTACCCACTGAGCTTTTCTCCACAACAGGATACTCTATGTGGACAGCTATGCTTCCATGAATTTAGAGGAGTTAAGAGAAATCAAGTATACGAGAGAATAACAAAAGCCAGCCAGAATTTAAAGTCAGGTCTTAGACTTGGTTGGGGGAGGCTAGCTGATACATTCTCAATCATCTGGGATGCAGGCAAGAGGCAAAAGGAAACCCAGAGGGGCCAGCACACTAGAACACACTTGTTTCATTTGAAAGCAGAGCGAGAGGGAGCAAGAAACAGAGGAGGAGGAAGGACTAAAAGAATATTAATAGCAAGCCAGGCTTTTAAAATGAACATCCTAGAAAACAAACCAAACAGGAAGGAGCTTCTCTGGAAGCAGAAGACATAAATTTCTCAGGACAAAGTGAAAAAGAGCAAAGATGTCTGGATCAAGACTCAGAAGCCTGGGCTGTCTGAATCTCTGCTCCCTTGAGCACAGCCAACTCAAGTGAAGAGTAGAGGTGGGACAAAGTCCACTTCTTTCTCCCTCTTTCCAACAGAGAACTTGTCTTCAAGACAGAGAGCCTCTTCCTTCAGCTGCTTGCTGGTAGGCGTCACCTTATACTTCGAAGCCCTCCTGGTAGTATTCAGCCAGTTGCATTTCTCTCTTCTCCTGAGTTCTCATCTCTGCTGTTCTGACTAGGGTTGGGAAAAAGAAGCAGAAAGTGATAATAGACCTTCTAGGGATTTATTTACAAACTGTTTACAAAGAACCACATTTCTAAATGAAGCATTTTAAAATAATGTATGTAATCAAAACAAAAGCAACGACCAAAAAACAAAAACAAAAACAAAAACCTATAGACACAAAATTTCTCATCTCACCTCGACGAGCTTTAGAACTGGCTCTGAACTGGCTCTTTCTGCTCTAACACCTCAAATTTAGATTTTCCCTTTTCTTGAAGTTTAGACTCTTCTCCTGTACTTGTTCCTTAGACGCTAGTTTCTGAATAGAAACTGTCATGTTAACTATGGCTTCTGGGAGCCAGCAGTAGTGTGGTGGTTAAGGCACTGGACTCCCAAGTGGTCAGCCGTGGTTTGAGTCACGGTCCTGGCAGCATTCTTTCTCACTCTTCCTCTCTGATAAGTGTATGTGCCCTATAGTAAATTACTAATATTAGGTTACTGGAAAAGTCATGACATATCTTTCTATGCAAAAATGCATCGTGATTTTCCTGACAGCTCAATAATAAGTAACAAAATTAAATAATTAAAAAAAAAAAAAAGGTTTCAAGTTAGCAGGTGGAATGGAAGTTAAGGTGGCTGGATCTCGCATGGGACTTCTCAGCTTGAGTCCTGGATCAACAACCTGAGAATCACACTGGGCATGTATGCCAAAATCCCAAGAGGAGAATGGAGGAGGGACTGTGGTGTGGCCATTTGCCCAGGGAGTAATTTCTCACTTTCCTTCTCTTGCTGTCTCTGGGGAGCACACATACCCTACAGCAAATTAAAATGAACAATAGTTTCTATTTCAACCCTGCAAAATCTAATTACAAAAGAAAGAAACTTGTGGAACCAGCAGGTGGCATGGTGGTTAAGGCGCTAGACACTTCCACATGGCCAACCATGGTTCAAGTCCTAGTCTTGGTGGCTAGCTTTCTCACTTCCCCTCCCTCCTCCCCTCCCTCCCTCCCTCTCTCTCTCTCTCTCTGTCACTCTCTCTTGTCAAATTAGAATAAATGAATGAATAAAATTAAATAATTATTAAAAAATAAAAACTTGTAAATTTCAAGACTCCCTTAAGTCCCTTGAGATACCTCATGATTGTAACTTAAAGTGTTACAAATTATTGGGAACAGCGGACGGTGTGGTGCTTAAGGCGCTGGATATTCCCACATGGCCAACCATGGTTCAAGTCCTGGACTTGTTGGCTTGCATTCTCACTTTCCCTCTCTCTCTCTGGTCAAATTAAAATAAATGAATGAATAAATAAAATAAAAAAAATAAATAAACCAACGTTACAAATTATTTTATCTTGTTTGAAAAACAAGTAAGCTCAAGCATTAGTTTTTTTTTCTTTTTTAGAGGTTTTTGCTATAGGGCGCGTGCACTCGCCAGACAGACAGAGAGAGACAGAGAGACAGAAAGCAAGAAATCACCCCCCAGGGGGGATGGCCACACCGCAATCCCTTCTCCTCCATTCTCCTCTCGGGATCTTGGGCACGCACGCACATGCACCCGGCATGAATTTTAAGCCACCAGGTCTGGGACTTGAACCATAGTTGACTACGTGGGAGTCCAGCAACATAACCATTTTGCTAACTGCTGGTCCCCCTTGAGCATTAGTTTTAAGAACATAGGAAGTTGGGCACTTACTTTTTTATGATGTTAATTTAAAATATTAAGGAACTCATATTAACTGGAACCTCTGCTTACAACCTGAAATAATAAAGTTGGAATTCATTATCACATCAGGCAACAAAAACTACTCACTAACAGAAACTCACCCAAAAAAGGAAGGGAAACTTCTGGGTAGAAGGAAAGTCCCCTATTAGAGGCTACCCTCAAGTATGGGAGAGTGCTCTCATACCTCAGGTGGAGGGGGCTTGATGGTGACTGGTTGGGGAGTCCTCCGAGGTGGGGAGGGCTTTGGCTGCACCTGCTGCTGCGCGGGATTATAGTAGGTCACTCCTCCATACACCTGTGAGGGGGCCTGGGATCCCACAAGCCAGAAGAAAAAGTTAGGAATTAGTCAAACCTACAATGAACATGAAACATTATTCAGCCATAAAAATATATGAGTAATGGGAATTTATACCTTTTAAAATTTCTAAGCTGCTCCCTTTCAAAATTAAGTAACTATTCATTTTTGCCTTAATATGGATTAGTAGGCTCTGGTTCCTGTTTTTTCAAGTACTGCCCAGCTTTGTCTAATTCCTATCATCAGATTAATGGAAAAGGCTGGGCCTCAGTGGTGATATTTCAGATACAAGATGGTATTGACCTATTGGGAATTAAATAGGTCAAGGACTGGGCTGGTAAAAAGTAGAATATAGCTTCTTTGGCAGTTGAATAAATAGCGGATACTGGGGCCAATGGCACAGGTAAAATACGAGACTCTGCAAGGCAGACCTGCACGGAAGGTTACTGGTTCACATCTGGAGACTTTCCTGAGTACTCTGTGCACGTGTGTGCCCATGATCCAGGCTGGCTAAGGCTGGTGGGTGTTGGGACCCTGTTTAGGGATGCTGTTTCTCTCTCAATCGTGAACTAAACAAACTTAAAAAAAATAATAATAAATAAAGATGACGAGGGATCAGCAGGTGGGGTAATGGTTATGTCACTTCACTCTCATGTGGCTGACCGTGGTTCATGTCTCAGACCTGGTGGTTTGAAACGTATGCCAGCCATGTGTGCATGTGTGCCCAAGATCCCAAAAGGAGAATGGAGGAGAAAGGACTGTGGCGTGGCCATCTTCCCTGGGGTGTTATTTCTTGCTTTCTCTCTATCTGCCTGTCCTTTGGGTGAGGACACAATTTTTACATAGTAAAAACCTCTCTTAAAAAAAAACAAAACAGATGACTAGGATCAGCACATGGTGTAATGGTTACACTGCTAGACTTCCACGTAGTCAACTATGGTTTGAGTCTCATACCTGGTTGGTTGGTGGCTTAAAAGTCACACCAGGGACCAGTAGGTGGCATGGTGGTTAAGGTGCTGGACTTCCACATGGCTGATAGTGGTTCGAGTCCCAAACCTGGTGGCTTGCTTTCTCACTTTCCCTCTGTCCCTCTTTAATCTAATTAAAAATAAATAAATTTAAACAAATAACATTAGATAAAATAATTCTTTTTTTTTTTTTTTGAGAGATTTTTGCTACAGGGCACGTGTGCTCACCAGAAAGACAGAGAGTGAAAGTGAAAGACAGAAAGACAGAAAGTGAAAAATCACCCCCCAGGGGGGATGGCCATGCCGCAATCCCTTCTCATCCATTCTCCTTGGGATCTTGGGCACACACGTATATGCGCCCAGCGTGAGTTTAAGCCACTGGGTCTGGGACTCGAACTGCGGTCGACTACATGGGAGTTCAGCGACATAGCCATTACTCTAACTGCTGGTCCCATAGATAAAATAATTCTTAAAAAAAAAAAAAAAAAAAAAAAAACCACACCTGGAAAGGACAACAAGCGGGCATAATGG